AGTCCCAAACCTGGGGCCCATAAATTTCACAAAGACACACACATATATACATATATGAGTAATTCATGTGCTTGTGTGTAGTTATTCAATTATTTTCACTCATGTCTGACTCTTTGTGACCCCATTTGGGATTCTCTTGGCAAAGATATTGGAATGGTTTGCCATTTCCTTCTGCAGCTCATCTGACAGATGAGGAAACTGAGGCAAACAGGGTTAAGTGATTTGCCCAGGGTCCCACAGCTAGGAAGTGTCTGACCCCAGATTTGAACTCAGGAAGCTGAGTCTTGCTGACTCCAGGCCCAGCAGTCTATCCACAGGGCCATCTAGCTGTGTATTCATAATTATGTTTGTCTGTGTGTTTCCATAATTATGTTTCAATACACTTTGTCCTTCTGTAATAATGTGTATTTCTTTTATGACTGATTGATGTTTTGTCCCACCCCCCTGCCCCATAGAATTCGAACCCTTTAAGGAAAAGCCCTGCTTCATTTTTGTCTTTGTGTCCTCAGCACACAGTAGGTCCATAATAAATGCTTGTTCAGTGGATGAATTAATGATATTAAGCTTCTCTCCGAAACAAATCCCAATCAGTATTCTCTATCATCAGTTTTTCATCAGGTGATACTGTATGACTACAAATCATGGCATCCCACAGTTCCCAGTGGTTTAAAGCTTCATTCACCCAAAGGGCAATGGAGATAACAATGGTGGGGTGAATAGGCCACAATGTTACCCAGGAAGAACTACACAAAAGTGTAACAGATATCACAGAAGAGATTTATGAGAGGACAAGGAGGTGGGCCGACCATGCAGCTGGGGTAAGGAATAACCTAGGGACAGCCCACCTGCTTCAAAGTGTTCAAAGTGTTCAAAGACTTAGAGGAAGGCCCCTAGGCTGTTGGATAGCTCTTCTGGAGAATTTGTGAGAGGCCATTAAAGAGAGCAGGACAAGATGGGAGTATGGGGATGCAAGTCATCTACATGGGAATATCCATACTGTACAATCACAGGGCTGTTGTAGAGTCAGAATGAGATCATTTCTATCAAATCATCAAATATTTACGAAGTACCTGCTATGTTCCAGGTACTGTGCTAAGTGCTGGGGACCCAAAGAAAGGCAAAAAGCAATCTCTGCTCTCAAGGAACTCAGTCTAATTGAAGGACATACCATGCAAAGAACTATGGACAAACAAGCTGCATCCAGGATAAATTAGAAATAATCAACAGAGGGAAAGCACTATTGTTAAGAGGGATTGGGAAAGCCTTCCCATCAAAGGTGGGATTTTAGCTAGGACTTGAAGGAAACCAGGAGGTAAAGATGAGGAGAAAAGAATGGGAAACTGCCAGTGAAAATGCCCAGAGTTGGGGGATGGAGTGTCTTGTGAAAGAAATAGCAAGAAATAGGAAAGAAGGAGAATAGGAAGGAAGGAAGGGAGGGAGGGAGGGAGGGAGGGAGGAAGGGAGGAAGGGAGGAAGGAAAAAAATAAGGAAGGAAAGAACAGAGGAAAGGAGGATAAGAGAAGGATGGAAGAAAGGGAGGGAGGAAAGGAAGGAAAGAGGAAAAGAGGGAGAGAGGAAGGAAGAAAAAGAGGAGAGAATCAAGAAAAGAAGGAAGAGAAGGAGGAAAGGAAGAAGAAAGGAAGGGACAGAGAAAAGGAAGAAAGGAGAAGGGATGGAGCAAGGAGGATAAGGGAAGGAAAGGATACAAGAATTGATTCAGCATGTACTATGTATCAGGTATTGTGGAAAGTACTTGACACACATTATGTCATTTGAACCTCACAACACATCTGGGAGGTTGGTGCTATTATCATTCTTATTTTATACTTGAGGAAACTGAGGCAGAGTTAAGTGACTTGCCCAGGGTCACAGAGTTAGTAAACATCTGATGATAGAGTTTATATTTGATCCTGGAACTAATAAGTAGCCTATAGAATTTATTGAATGGGGGACGGGTGACCTCCATCATTATCAGCACCAGTACTGATCCTATCAATAGTTTTTTGAGAATATTTTAGATGAGAAACTTTCTACTTGTCTCTCATTTATTTGATGGAGGGGAGGAATCTTTAAATCTCTTTCTTCATGGGAAGTAAACAATGTGTTAAATAACTGTCCCTTTATCTCAAGAGTCCATCAGAACTCAATGTTCTAGTCTAAAATAGACTTTTGGATATTCTCCAGAGGGAAAATTTGGCCATTTAGTATTAAGGAAAAGTGAAGCACTTTGAGGTCAAAAAATTTCTCTGCTTATGACAATTTCACAGTTATGTTTTAAATGTCCCTCACATTGCCCCTCCCATGAATGCCTGGCTTCCTCTGTGTAGCAACTTCCAGATTTGACTTTTGACTCTACATTCCACTGTCCTGTTTAAGGTTTCTCATTTCCCTTTTCAGTTTCACCAGCATACATGCCTAAAATAACCCAAAATAATAATCTAGGAGATGAAATTAATTGGCAATAATGGCTGAGTCACTAGGGCTAGTTAAGTTAATGTTTGTCAACTTTCTATTATCTATTATTTCAACCCTCTTGTGGGAGGAACTGTCAGCTGTCAATTTCCCAGTTTGTGCTACCTGGATTATGCTGATGACAGACCACCTTTATTTCCCTTTCCCTTTCTGCTCCCTCCTTTTGGTCATTTCTTGTAAATGTACAGACAAGATATAGCCAGGACAAATCAGAAATAAACATTACATTTTAGAAGGTTCCCTCTCTTTCTTTACTCAGGAAATCTGTGATCATATTGAAACAAAGTTTGCTTGTTACCTCTCCAAATAAGAGAGACTCTCTCACTTTTAGGACTCCATGATGGACCTGAGATCCGAGTTCATTCTTTTTCTTTTGTTTGTTCATAAGTCTGCTGTTAGGGGCAGTCTTGCTATCACTGTCATTGACTCCAAGTCATTGCCAGTTAATCCCTATTGGGAAGGACTGTCAAATCATGGAATCTGAATGGGAAGACACAAGTAGCCAAAGCCATGTTTCTGTGCAGTAAGCTAAGGAAAGCCACCTGGAAACTAGATGATCAGAAGACATGTTCCAAGGATATCTGAAGAAGTATATTTCAAAGGAGTATTGCCTAACTCCTGATAATGGAGAAATGATAACAGTAGACTACAGAAGATGAAGGATCTGGCTTGAACAAAGATGTCTTGGTGATTTAGAGTCTGCAAATATTGCATTCAAAGGTCAGGCCTATCCAGGCCAAAGGAAACTGTGAGTAGTATATCAAACTTTTCGATTATATTCACCTGTGTATGAATTATACCACGGTCATAGCAGCCATACCTAGGTTTCTAAGGCTTCTGTTCAATAGGATATGATTCACTGAGTTCATCAGAATATTTCAGATTTAAGTCATCACTATAAATAATGAAACTGCTATGTCTAGGACCCCACAACCAGATAAGCAGGTAGGTAAAGCTGTGTTTAGAAAACTGAACCTAGGGGCAGCTAGATGGCACAGTGGATAGAGCACCGGCCCTGGATTCAGGAGGACCTGAGTTCAAATCTGGCCTCAGACACATCACACTTACTAGCTGTGTGACCCTGGGCAAGTCACTGAACCCCATTGCCTAACCAAAAAAAAAAGAAAAAAAAGAAAACTGAACCTAGAGTCAAGGATATCTGAGTCAAACCTAGCTGTGTGACCTAGGCAAGTCACTTAACTTCTTTCTGCCTTAGCTTCCACATCTGTAAAATGAGGACAACAATAGCACCCACCTCAGGGAGCTACCTGTTAGCATAAAATGAGATATCTGAAAAGGACATTGTAGACCTTAAAGTGTTATATAAATTCTGCCTTATATAAAAATAGACAGGCATAGTTTGGTTGAATGTTCCTTTCTCTACTAGTTATTCTGTGATCACAGTGAAAAGAATATTGAATTTAGAGTTGAGAGGCCTAAGTTCAAATTCTGATTCTGAAGCTTACTAGTTATGTGAAGTATAGCTATTTGACCACAATGCTCCTCAGTTTTTTCATTTTTAAAATATGTATAACAATACTTGTTTCATTCGCCTCTGAGGGTTGTTGTGGGGTTTTGTCGATGTTAAGACTTATATAAGTGTAAGCTATAATCATTATTATTACACAAAGCTAAAGTCTCAACCATTCTTTTCCTGTGACATGTGAACCCCACAGGCACCAAGACACAACTTTGGCTGACCAGTCAAGTGAAGAAATCGAACTCTTTGCGAGAGTGTCAAGACTACTTTTGTAAAATAGCCTATGGTAGAAAAAATCTTATCTACCCTGCTTTACGGAGGAAACTGCTAACACGATGAGATTCACATTTACTGCAAAGAAGGGTGGGGGAAAGGATGAAGTTTTGACACCAGGAGTTCCTCATCTCTTCAGTCAGCCAATTTATTACACAGTCTACTATGTGGCAGACATTGTGATAAGCACTGGAAAATTAAATGGCAGGTCTAGAAAAAAAATTAATACCCTACTGAATAGCACTTGCTATCTCCGAATCTCAAAGCTTCTCTGATGCTCCTTTTGTAGTTAGATTAATCGTGGCGGTAAATGATACCTGTTTCTCTCAGCTGAATCACATGCTGTGCCCTTTTTCTTCCTCCCTCTTCTAACATCTGCTGGGCAGCAGAAAGGGGTTCAAACCAAGCTCATTCAAATGTGGGGAGAAATAAAAGGTATCGTGAAGAATTAGTTTCAGCCCCAATCATTGTCACTTATTAATAAATGTTAGAGTGGAAAGGGCACCAGGCTTGCAATCAGAAAACCTGCTTTTGAATTCCATGCCCTCCAGGCTGTGTGACTATAAGGAAATCACTTCACCTCTGAGTCTGTTTCAAGAAATGCGAAATAAAGCCAAGAACGCTGGCACTGCCCATGCCACAGGATTATCGAAAGGAGATCTTCAAACGTTACATCAGTGTGGGCTCCTGCTGCTCACAGAGGGCATGTATGGAGCCCAGAGAGAATCCAGTTAAGAGAGGAGAATCGGCTCACAGGCAGGCTCTAAAGCGTTAACCGGAGAGTCAATTTACCTCTTCTACAGGTGTGTGGTTGGGAGTGTTCCTATCAGCTGCTCCTCTCGAGGAAAATAAACACTCCCAACATGCACTGAGCCACGGGGAGTGTCTCAGGTTTCCAACACGCCCCAGCTTGTTAAGAGTTAGAGTAATAATTAACAGCTTCTTGGACTTTATAAGGCTGTGGAGGGACATCTGTCAGGAAGAGAGCTCCCTGCCATGCTCGAGGGAAAACCAGACAAAACCTCTCTTTTCCTCCGTGGTTCTGACCTCCCTCCCAGGTAAGTCAACTTTTTACAGTGAGTGGGCATCCCGTACCTGTGGCTAAGATGATTCATTGCTTCTCTGGATGACTTTGTTCCACCAACTGTAGGAAGGGGGAAGGTCAGTGGTAGAATGTAAGGAATGAGAGAAAGGGAAGGGAGGAGCCTGGTCCCCTGGAGTCAATCCCTTCAGGTCTAGGGATCAGGGATCAGAGCTGGGGGCATGGGCTCTGACATCATCCCGGCTGCACCTGTCCTCGGAATAAAGAAATCCAGAAGCCCACGTGGGTCAGACCCACCTCGGACTGAACATCCTCTTCCCTCCATTCTTTTCATTCTTTTTTTCCAGGTTTAAAGCAACCATTCTCCGGATGTCTCCTTGAGCCTTAAAAGATCCCCTCCCTATTAAATTCATAAAAGTATTTTAAATCTAAACATTGTAAATATCTCATTCGCACATGATAACAATACTAATAATTAGCATTTATATAACCAGCCTCTAAGGCTTTAAAACTATTATCTCATTTGATCTTAATAACAACCATTCGAGGTGGGTACTATTAGCTCCATTTCAGAGCTGAAGAAACTGAGGCAAAGAGAAGTGTCTTCCCCAAAGTTACACAGCTCCTAGTGTCTAAGGGAAGATTTGAACTTAGATCTTCCTGACTCCAGGTCCAGGGATCTTATATGCTACCTAGCTATCTAGTACTATGCTCCCAATGCCTCTTTCTCTGAATATTGGAATGGTTAAACTATATTTATATAATATTTGAGAAACAATTGAAGGGTAGTGGACCTGGTCCTGGACTTGGAATCAAAAGAACTGAGTTCTGGTAAGTGACTTCTGGTAAGTGACTGAATCTAGAGCCTCAGTTTTATCACCTATAAAAGGGAGTGATAATAATTTCACTGCCCACCCCCTCAGGGCTGACATAAGAAACAGTAGGTAAATTAGAAAATGCTTTACATGTGGGAATTCTTACTTTATTGCATTTTAGAATTGGTTTTTTTTGTTAGTTTGCTTTAAACATTCTTTCTTACAAAGTGGGACAAGAAGGAAAAACCCTAGAGACAGATGAGACTGAGAAACTGCAATAATTATCAGTCCTAGGTTTAAAAATCCAGCTCTCCTACACATATAATCCAAAGTAACAGATTGATTTTATATTGCTTTGCTTTAAACACAATTTAAATACTGGCTATGACCCTATGAGTAAAATATTCAATAATCGAATGCTGAGGCAATTACCTGGAGAGAAAAGTAATTAGTTTAAGTAAATGCAAGATAATTTGAGAAGGGAGAAAACAATAACAGAGAGGGGAGCTGGAAAGGCCTGGGATCAGGCCTGAGATGTGAAGAAATCTAAGAGGTCCAAGAGATGTGAAGAAATAGCATTTTGGGCCTGAGAAGGCACCTTCTGAGCAAAGGCACAGAGTTGGGGAATGGAAAACTGAGTTCAGGGAAAAAAAAGAATAGACTAGTTTAGCTGGAATTGAACTTTTATGAAGGAGATAATAGAAATAGGTCCAGAAAGATCAGCTAGATTGTGATGGACATTAGATACCAAATTGAAAAGTTTTATTTTATTCCTGGAGGCAATAGGGAGCCATTGCATGTTTTTGAGCAAGAGAGCGACATGATCAGAACTAATGCTTTAGGAAGATTATTTTGAGAGTTGAGTGGAGGATGGACTGGAGATGGGAGAAACTAGAAGCTGATGAGGATCTGGACTAGGGAAGAGTGAAAGATAGATGCAGGAAATGTGGAGGAAGAATAGTCAAGACAAGAGTTAAGTTGACTCCAAGGTCCTGAACCATTTGACTGCAAGATTAATGGTGCTATCAATAGAAATGATATAGTTTGAAAGAGATGAATTTGGAGGGAGTATAATAAGTTCCATTTGGAACAATAACAATTCTAATTAACAATAACAACATCTATATTATGATATATCCAGATCTGATATAATCATACAATGTTGAAATTCCAAATGTAAACTCATCAGTTTAGAGCTATCAGGAGTCGTAGAGGTCATAGGATCATAGACTTGGTTGTTGAAAAGGAGAAAACTGGGGCTTTGGGAGGTTAAGTAACTGGGTTGACATTACATGGACAGTAAGGAGGGAAAGCCATGATAGAAACTCAATTCCTCTGACCCCAAATTCAGCTTTATTCTTTTTACTACACCAAATTGTTCCCTGCTTGAGGACTATTTGGGCATAAATACCTCCAGTGGTCCTAATTCATTTATAGCTGCATCAGATGTTTAGAATTGAAATTAATCTTATGGGTCATCTAACCATTCATTTATTTTAAAGAGAAGGAAACTGAGGCCTGGAGAGGTATAGAGGCATTCCCAGGGTCACACAGTTGATTAACTATCAGAGGTGAAGCCATTTTTATCTAGAATTGCCAATCCAACCTTATTTCATTTCTTTTTGTGATAGGATTACGAGACTAGTAAACTGGGAAAATGTCAATATATCTCTTGATTTCCGCGAGACATTTGATAACTTTCTTGGGACTGGACAATGTGGAAAAGATGTGGGCTGGATGACAGTACGATTAGGTAACTCCATAGCTAGCTGAAAACCATAGTCAAGGAACATTGATTAATGAGTTCCGTCACCTTGGAAGTGATCTCTAGTAAAATGTTTCTGGACTCTGCCTTTGGCCCTGGCAGGCTCACCATTTTTCAGCAACTAATTGAATGAATTAAGTAATTCAAGGCAACAATCATTTATTAAGTACCTACTATGTACTGGGCACCATGCTAGGCACTGGGGATACAAATATAAAAATAGTAAATTCTCTTCCCTCAAGGAGCTTATATTCTATTGAAAGGGAAATAAGAGGGATTCAAGTAAATATAACACATTTACAAAATAAATGAAAAGAAAATTTTGGTAGGCTCCTTAATGAAAAAGGCCTCCTGTAGGAGAAGACACTTGAACTAAGAAGGACCAACATCCCAAACTTGGGGACAGCTTGTGCAAAAACACAGAAAAAGAATTTGGAATATCATGTACAGGGAACAAATTGAACAAAAGCATAAAGTACATGAGGGAGATTAATCTGGGATAAGTCTATAAGGATAGGTTGTAGCCAAACTATAAAAGGCTTTAAAAACCAACAAAGTAGTTTTACTTTATCCTATAGGCAAAGAGAAGCCATTGAAGGAGTTGCTATGATCAGTAATTGTAATTATAACTTTGAATGTGAATGGGATGAACTCACCCATGAAATGGAAATAGATAGCAGAATGAATTAAAAATCAGAATCCAACAAAATGTTTGCAAGAAACACTTTTAAGAATGACCTGTGCTTTAGGTGTATCATTATGTCAACTGTTTAGACTAGGATGGATTGTAGAGAGGCTAGAGATCAGGAGTCTAAGTAGGAAATTATTGTAATAGGTGGCACAGTATGTAGAGAGCTAGGTGTGGACACAGGAAGACTTATCTTCCTCAATTCAAATCTGGCCTCAGATACTTTTTAGCTGTGTGATCCTGGGCAAGTCACTTAACACTGTTTGCCTCAATTCCTCATCTATAAAATAATCTGAAGAAGGAAATAGCAAACCACTCTAGGATCTTTGCAAGAAAACCCCGAATGGGATCACAAAGAGTCAGACATGACTGAAAAACAATATAATAGTGCAGAGAAGAGGGGATGAGAGCCCATATTAGGATAATGACTATATGAACAAAGAGAAAGAATGATAGAAATATCTTGGAAATAGAATTGAAAGGACTTGTTAGCCATTTAGATATGTGAGAGATATAGGGAGAAAGAAGATGCAAGAATGAGTCCAAGGTTGAATATGTGATTGCCTGAATGGATGGTGTTCATTCAATAGAAAGAGGTATAGTGAGAAGAGGAATGGGTTTGGATGGAATAGAATGAGTTCTGCTTTGAACATGTTGAATGTGAGATACCTATGGCACTTTCAAGGAGAGATGAACAACTGGCCATTGCAGATGTGGTTCTGAAGTTCAGGGGCGAGATAAGGATTTGATTTGTAAATTTGGGAGTCATCTGCTTAAAAATGAAGATTAAACCCATGGAAGCTGATAATATCACCAAGAGAAAAGGTACAGAAAGAAGATAAAATAGCCCAGGACAGAGCCCTGGGCTATGCTCAGGCACCAGGAGAAGGACACAGATGAGGATCCATCAATGGAGACTAGGGAGTAAACAGAGATATAGGGAGAGAACCAGGAGAAGAGCAGTGTCGTGAAAACTGAGGGAAGAGGGAATATCTCAAAGATGGGGGTAGCCCACAGTGTCAAAGGCTGCAATGAGAATGAGAAACGAGTAAAGGTCATAAGATCTAGCAAATGAGAGATAATCAGTGACCTTGGAGAGAAAAGTTTCAAATGAGTGTTAGGATTGTAAACCCGATTATAAGGGGTTAAGAAGTGAAGAGGAAGAGAGGAAGTATATGAACAAGGAAAGAGGGCTTCTTCTAGGAGTTTGTGAGAGGACAGACAAAAAAATGATAATGAGGGGATATTGGGATCAAATAAAGAAAAATATGGCATGGTATCCAATTAGTAGATGGAAAGGTTAGTTAATATATTGCAGAATTGGGGTCCAAGAAAAGAGTTCAAGCATCTAGGATGGTGGGACAAATCTAAGATGAAACTTTAAGTGGAAGAGCCACTGGATGAGGGTGGCATGGAGAGGATTGTAACATTAAGGTGTGTAGGGGAAAAAAAAGTGGGGATTTCTCTTAACTACATTATTCATACAAATGAATAAATAAGTATGAAATGTGTCTGCCTAAAGAACCAATGTGATCTTAAGCAGCATGAATAGCACTTGAATATCAAGAACAAGGTAGATAAACTTTCACACCACATCTAAAATCATTCCTTCCATCCTGCGAAGTGGAATTTTTAAGTGCTAGAAGCCACATCAGCAAGTCATCTTTAAGCTGATGAGCCAGCCAGCCAGTAAGACTTTGCATTCACATCAACAAACTGGCACACATCTAGGGACAGTTGCCTAGGAT